GCTTTGAAACTGAAAATTTAGCAAAGGGTGAGGATATTACGTATTGATTTTTAATAAAATTAAACCTGGATATACTATTTGCTAAATTTTAGTTGATGATATACGTTATCATAAGAATCGATTGATAATATAATTATCAGCATGGGATTAAATGACTTTTGATAAATGACGATTGGGTTTAAAAATATTTTTAATTTTATTTCATGTCTGCGATACGTATAAGGAGACTGACCAATATCACAGTTTTAAGTCATGATGAAACATTTAATCATATAAATAATAAATTCTTTATATTTATTATGATTTTATACGTCATCAAAAGCGACAAATCTAAATTCTAACACGACACCTGTATATTGATAAGAAATATATGTTACATAAAAAACCATCAAAGTTCAACTCTATTCTTCCCAATACCAACCAATTCTACATCAAATACAAGGGCGGCATTTTCTAGAATGTAAAAGACGGATAAGTTAATAATTTATGATAAGTTTTAAAAACATTATACAAAGACAATCACCAGGAATAGCCGGGGGACTTCCTCTGGTTCCGTAAGCAAGATGAGAAGGAATTATCAATTTACGTTTTTCACCGATACACATTCTTTACAAAACAGGTTTAATAACTTGAAAATTAAGATAAATTTTTTTGCGCGTGAAGCTTAACCAGAGTAAAGATTTGTAAATACACACCCTCTCAAACCTTGATCCCAACCTTTAATAACTTGTCCAACGCCTTAATCGGCATCAAGTGTTCACATCAAATTAGAATGGATTAACATAATATATAATACAAAAAAATTTAAAATTTTTTTTTTTTTTTTTTTACCTAAAGTGAAAGTAAAAGGTTCACCACGAGGAAGACTAGAATCGAATTCTTTTCCATCTTCAAATAGAAAACCTGTGTAATGAACGGATATTGAGTCGCTGATGTGACGTAACAAAAAACGAATATATAAAGGAATAAAAAGTTAATTTATATTCTGAAGGAATAAGCTCTGAACAAGACTAGTAAGCCTTTACCCATCCTTGGTCATTTTATAGCAGGAACCTTCAGGTATACGATGTTTAATTCCTATTTTGAAATATCAAGATTGTGTTGGTCGAGGTTCTCAAGCTTTTAAAAATCATATCAATCCAAGTAAAAATAATATACCAATTTGCAAGGTCGTAGGAGGTTCTTTAGCATTAACATCCCGAATATTAAAAGTTGAGCAAATAATAGTTAAAAACCAAAGGAAGGTTACAAATTGACGCATTTTTTAAGAATATTATTGAGAAGCGCTAGACTTGATGTTTCAGAAGAATTTAATTGATAAACGCAAAATAATTGATTTTAATGGCCAATCAACCCGACCTTACCTTTTTCGCAAAATAATTAGTCTGGAATTCATGTGATTTACGTACCATGATGTTACAAAAAAAATTTATTCAATCGCTTGTAAAAGGAAAAAGTTAGATTGACCTTGGATCGAACTGGTAAAACGATAGCGATTTTTGCCTTTTATACGTAAGTGATAACATTCGAAATTAAAAATAACTGGAATTTCATACTGTAATATACATCGATATCAATATATATACATATACTTTTCAGTAAACTTCTTATATACAACTCTATATCCGAATTTTTGGATAAACTTAGTATGCAAGTGGGAGTGTACAAGCCATAAAAAGTAATAAACATTTATTACATTTAATCAGAAAAATCGGACCATTTATATGCATAATACAATATTTATTTATATGTTTCGAACGTTATTGACGCATAAAAATATGTAGTCCCTTATATCGATATCAAACGCATTAACCAATCGCTTATAATTTTAGTTCGAGGTGACCAAACGGAATTTGACGAGATTTATTCCTCAGAATTATTTGTTGACGCAAAAAATAACACATGAGTAAGTTTAACAAATATTTCTATGAATTATTAAGAGCTTGACGTAAGAAACGGTACACTAATATAATTCGTGTGACATACTAAGTTTAGCCAACGCGTCCGTCTCAAGGATCGAACCGTAGCAAATATAACCAACAGCATTCAACCTTTCAATGAGAGTAGATCCAAAGTCTTACAATGCAAAATTTGCATAAAGGATGCAAAATTCGCATAGAGGATGAGATCCATCCATCCCATCACTTTTATTTCATCATTCGTTAAAAACATCTACATTTATTTGCAAAATAATTGTTCATTTCTTCATTTCCTTGTATTTCACCACATAAAACAAACAATAGAAATCCCTGATAACTTTCTATTAACACATGGAGGTTGGTCTTAACAATATATATATATAGCAAAAACTCAAAGCCAATTATATAATAATTTCAAAGAAATTGTAAAAAAAAAAAAAATCCTTCAAAGACGCATTTCAATGAAGAATCTCAAAAAAATATTGTTTTTTTTGTTCATTTTCTTAAATTCAATGACAATATATTGTTCATTAAATAGTAAGTTCTCAATTTCTTACCATGACTATCGAATGCTCGGAGCAAGAATAATAATAATAATTCTATAAATCTCTTACATAGAATGCGTTGATTTAATAAACGATTGTGAAAGAAGTTGTAAAAACAAAAATTTATTGCTAGTAAAAAACATATACGATCCAAATACTTTTACTGTAAATTGTCAATGCGATAATGTTCCAAGTAAGTTCATCGAGTATGCGCAACCTTTAGGCGCGATTAATCATACGCGTTTTATCATTCTGACAATTATTATATATCAGATTTAAAATTGAGAGACGTATCATCTGCCCTACCTGCTCAACCAACACCTCCAGCTGGACCAGTTGGGCCAACTGGACCAACTGGACCGACCGGACCGATGGGACCGGTAAGTTTGCTTTTTACTGTTTAGATAATTCTTTGTGCAATAATCTTTAAGTGCGCTGTATCATTCTTAATATTTATTAATTCATAAAGGTAGGGCCTTCTGGTCCTTCAAATAATGACGGTAATGTCACGGCAGGAACTCCAGGTACCGAGGGAACTGCAGGAACACCCGGACAACCAGGTGAGAGAGAAAATAATATATGATCTTTGCTAGAAAAATTCTGACTCACTAATCATCTAATAATCTGATTTGGATGATTCCTTTTTTGTAAAGCTTAATAGACTACAAAAAAAAAAAAAAAAAAAACATCGTCCAAATCAGATTATTAAAATGACATTTATTTAGCCCGAGAATCTACTTCCTAGCAAAGTTTCCACATATATGTGTATATATATATGATTTTTTTAATAGCATATATATGGTATATAATGTATTATATTAAACTTTAGGCAAGCCTGGAACGAATGGAAATAATAATCCTAGTGATGGTGTAAACGATGGGTCAGGAACGCCCACGAATTCTAATCCTAATTCTAATCCTAATTCTAATCCTAATTCTAATCATATTCCTAACCCCAAGCCTAAATCCAATTCAAGTTCTCCTTCAACACCACAAAGTATGGGAATTCTTGTTAATATTATACCAAGATAGATATACAGTGTATATATATATATATAGTTATTTATTTATTCCTAACTGTATAATTCTTTACATTTATATAGGCACGTCAAATTCAATGTCAACATCACATATTTCACCTCCTAATCCATCAACAACAAACGCTTCTAGTCAATCCGATGATCGTAGTGGTGTAAAAATAGCCGCAGGAATTATAGGTTCAATAATCTCATTACTCATTGCTGCAGGAATAATAATATATTATCGTCGTAAACGTGTAAGGTCCAAAGAAAATTCTGCTGAGTTATCCATAAAGGATGAATCTGATATGATTTCAAATGTTGCTACGGCTGCAAAAAGTACTGAAGATAATAATAGTGCATTAAGTAATATAATGGTAACAAAAGTAAGCAGTGTTAGAGTTTTTCATGATACTGATGATTATAGTGGTAGAAATTCAAGTACTACAATCGGTTTGATTTCTACTACTGGTGGTGCTGATGATGGTGATGATAATTCATTTTCTGAATACAGTCAAAATTGGATTTAATGAACTATATGTCTTTTTTTCCACAAAAAAAAAAAAAATTCTCCGTGTTACTATTTATAATCGATTTAAATTTCTATATTTTACATTTATGCTTTCTTTTATATCAATGTTTTTATTATATTCGATTTATTTATCGTGTTCATTTAACGATGACCACGATACATCAAAGATCTATCTTGTTACCAGATAGATAGGTCCTGAAAAGACCGAATAGATCATTCTTTTAACCGGTCTCACGGCTATTCGGTCCCCGGTCTTGAGACTAGTCCGGACAGATTTTTTATGAACAGTTAAAAATATTTAATTAACATTATTAAAAGTAAATTAGATAATCGTTTATTTGACCACCGATATAATCTGCGTGTTATTTCGAATGTGTCCATGAGCTTTATTTTGAACAGATCGATTTTTCTAATCATGAAGAATTTTCACGATTGACATAATAAATAAAAGTTTTTGTAGTAATAATGTGCGAATTTTTTTTATTGTATTATTTATTTATAATAAATTAGAGATTGTATGGCATAATAAATTACCCGGATAACCGGGTAATTTAATAATACC